TGTTCGAACGAGCTGGAACAATCTGGAAGAGAAAATGTGCAATATTTGTGCTTATTGGCTGCTTATTGGGTGCTTATTGGCTGGGCGAATGCGCCCTTCTATCACTGTTTCACATTACTAACGAACGAAATTATTAAAAGTGCGTATTCTTTCTTTTATACATTGTGTAAACATTAGTAATCTATTTATAAAAGATAAAATGAACTACTTTCTAACTTGCGTGTTTCTCAAAAATCGAGATGTTTGTTTAGAAGCCGGGAAACCCTCTTCTTGAGTCGAACTTCGTCGAATTTTGCAAAGAGGTTGAAGGCTCGGCGAACAGGTCGAACCCCAATGTTCGAAATCGAACCTCGGGTTCCGCGAAAGTTCGCAACGTCAAAAGCGCAAGGCCTTTTCTGTTTAGGGTATTCACACGAGGGAGAAATCCCGAGGATTTCTCCCCGGCACGCGCATTCCACGACGAAAACGTCAAGCTTTGCGATGGGCAAAAGCCTCGCGTTTTCATCTCGTGATGCGCGCGTGCCGGGGAGAAATCCCCGGGATTTCTCCCTCGTGTGAATGCCCCTTTATTCGCTTAGCGATGATAGACAACGCGCAGAAACATAACAAACACCATGATGGTGTGGTCTTGACGCTGTCTGTTCGTTACCATTAGCTCGTAGCCTCGCCTGCATCTCAACTTAAAGGCCAAAGACTAGACTCGACATTCTGCAAGGCAGAACATCCTCCTCACCATTGGGGGAAAATTGGAAAGCGCGAACTGGTCGTTGGTCTTGAAGGTGAAACGTAGTAATATTGTCTCGCGGTTCGTTCTGAAGCTTTGGCAGCTGGTTCAGAGAGCGAGCTACATTTGGGCGGGGAATGAGCGTTAGGCAATGCTCCTTTAATTTTTGCAGTATAAAAAAAGAAAAAAAAAAAGAACGCGCTAGTTTTATGGGACCAGCTGTACTGAAAATGTAGATACGTACATACAGTATAGCCACATTTATACGTAATCATCGGACCTAATTAGGCACTTCTAATAACCTCGCGCGTGCTTTCGGATACCTTCTTTCAAAAACGCTCACACCCGATTTCTCGGTCATTTCATGAGGCGTCAGCAAGACCGCCAGTCGCTCGCTCCAGACGTACACAATGTATGGAGGAAACGTCGCCAAGTAAAGACGCACAGACGACCTTGACGATGGGGGTCGGGGAAGAACGCCCGTGGCAACTGACAGTCTTGGTGAACGCGTGAAGGAATGATTGAGAACGCGGCTAGGAGGCAACATGTTTTAAAGATGTAGTCCAAGCGCCTGTGCCAGGTCACAACAATTGTCCAAATTTGTGCAGTGAGTGCGAGTAGACGTAGCTACTTATGTCGATAAATTTTGTGTATACTATGTGTTTCTACCTCAGATCGTGCGGTGAGGGTCCGGGTTATATTGTTATCTTTATGTAAACAAAAATATATGTTAAGGTCATGTACTTGGCAGGAGCATTCAACTGTACGCGAACGCCATATGTAATTTTCTTCCGAAGGTATAAAATTTCGAAGCTGGAGGCGTGGACATCGCCATGGTTTCGCCGCGGTACTTTGCACAGCCGTCAATTTCACACCGAAGCATACACGTAGTAATAAATATCTATACTTATTTCATGAAAGGCTTGCGGTATCTGCACAATATAATAAAAATTACAATAAAAATTTATATGCAAAACAAATTGATGAAACATGTTGAAGGAATTTGTTTCAGAGTCATATTAACAAATTATTTAGTAACAAACTACTTCATATAAAATGACACAAATATATTGAAATAATCACCTTTTGAAAGAGGTTTACAAGTATATAATAAAGCTGTGCTTTGCAAATATTGTAGCTGGGTTACTTATTAAAGCAAAAATTCTGCTGACTTCAAATCTGGCAAAAATTGGACATCAATGTTAAAAAAAAAAAAAGAACACGACATAACTTTTTTTTTTTTTTTTAACTCTTTTTAACCGTTTACAGCGACTTTAACAACCCTCTGATTTCAAAATCTTCAGTAACAGATGACCTCCTTGAGAAAAAAAACAACAAAAAAAAAAAAAAAAAACGACAAAAAACCTTTACTCAAATTGAGTTAGCTCGTCTTCGTTGTAGGGGCTCCAAGGATACATTTTTTTTTACAACCGACATAAGCTCTGCAGCTGTGCTGCTCTATCGTAAAGCGTAAAACGTTATGCTGTCCATAGTTTCGTTTTATATGTGTTTTCTTGCGTTGCCTCCTACCGCCCCTTCCCTTTAAAAAAAAAAGAAAAAACACGATCTATCGGAGTGTATTTTACGAATCACAGTAAAAAGCTGCGCATGCCTTATATATGAATAATGTCGATGGATTTAATAGTTTTCAATTATGCACACCATATTTGTAATTGAAATGGCACCTTTGAATTGAATACTTATAAAGTTAATTAGAAATTGTAATTATTAACGTAATTACATTCAAACACTTATTTTTCGTCTAAATTTGCCCTTTGGCAGGAACCATTAATACATCCAACTCTAAATTTGCCCTTTGGCGGGAACATTTATTACATAAAACACTTTTTTGTGCTATGCGTACTTTCACATGAACGATTGAGCCCGAGTTTCGAAACACATACTGAATGCCTCTGCCACGGACAGGCCTCTCTTATAATATGTATTTTACTAGAATATATATCAACTGACATAGAAACACTCAACAAAATTATTGCGGTTATGAAGTTCTATCTGTATTCCTTTGGGCGCGTATGGATACAGAAAGGTTAAGCTGGCTTGTATGTCGTCACACAATTTTGAACACCGAGACACCGAGTCGCCAGATCCTACTCCCCTCGCATTGTTTTCGCGGTAAGAGTAGACCTTCCTCGTGTGAGGGCCTTGGGCTTCGCGGTAACGACCCGTGGAAGAGGATGTGGGGAGACGTATTCTTAGGAGGCAACGCGAGGAATCCCAAATATAAAACTAACGAAGCGAGAGACGGCATGACTTTCTATAACCTACGATAGAGCAGCACCGCTGTGCAGCGTCTGTCGCTTGTAAAAGATGGCACCTTTCAGCCGACGTGGTGCGGCAAAGCCCCTATCACGAAGACAAGCTAGGTCAATTTGGGTGAAGGTTTGTTGTCGTATTTCTCTTAAGGAGGCCGTATGGAACTCAATGTTTTGCCATCACAAGTTAGTTCAAATCACTGTAAGCGGTTAAGTATAACTAAAATAAAAAGGGAAGTTTTTTAAACAGTAACGTGCGATTTTGCCCCATTTCGTGAAATGACCTGCGTCTCTGCATCAATAACAGAACTAGAATAACGGACAAGCATATTTTTTCTTCTGTATTCGTAAAATGCATTGAAATATAATAATTTTTTTTATATTGTGCGTTGTTTTATTGAAATAGTTTATTGCTAAATTATCTGTGAATGTTTCTCTAAAACGAGGCTATTTGACGTGTTTCGTAAACATTTCGCATAGAAATCTTTTTTTTTTTTTTAATTTTTAACATTTCGTGTTTATGTCCTAAACCTTTCATAAAATATACAAACAAAAATGACTACTATATGCACGCTTCGGTGTGAAATTGATGGCTGTGAAAAATACCATAGCGAAATCTTAGCGACCTCCACGCCTGGAGCTTCTAAATTTTATATCTCCGGAAAAGTATTAGCTACCGCGTTCGCATATAGCTGAATGCTCCTCCCAAGAATATGGCTTCAACATACATCTTTTATGTAAATATATAAAAACAATTTTGACCCGGGTCATTATTGCGCGACATGACGTGGAATCATTCTTTAAACAATTTTCACCATTTATGTCTTTTTCGCCTAATTCCTCGGAAGTTAAAAACAAAACAAGACAACCCTCAGATTCTAAGCCCTCTTATGATCGATCTGAGAATACTGCAAAGTGGCGTGCGCAAAAAACACCAACAAGGTTGCAAGCCTATAACTGATATAACACTCACCTCCAAGAGACTCTATACCAGGAGGGCCGAATAAGGCTCTTCGCAGGACCAAGTGCGGCACACGGTTCGCTGGTAAGCGTGCCCCCCTTCCCCTCCTGTGTCCCCAAGACAAAAAAAAAAAAAAAAAGTAATTAAAAAAAGTACAATTTTGGCAGTCTTGTATTACGCTACGTTTTTGAGACATGGATGCGTTTAGTGACCCTGTTTCTTTTACTGATCTAGAGAGAATTTCGAAACGTGTATCCAAAATGCACTCTGAGAAAAAAGTAGTATATTCTTACACCCATTGTCACATATATTACATCCTAAAAAAACTTCAATTCGACGGACAGTGCATTGACGCCTAACCGACTAAACCAAATTTCACGAGCTGCTTGATAGCCGAGTTCAATAATTCATTGAAATAGTAAATCCACGTGTGACTGTTTTGCAAAAAAAGTAATGCGGATTTTTTTCCCCTACTGCAAATGCAAATCCTTAGTGTTTTTTTTTATTTCTGTAGTTTGTAAAACGAACTTTAGCTGTTTAATGTGTTAGATCGCACCTTTATGAAATTCTTAGTAAGACGAAATGAAGTTCCGGGGTGTATTATGTGACAAAAAGCGTAAGGCTACACACTCCTTTTTTTAAAGAGTGCGGGCGTCAGGGGCAGTGACTGGATAGCGAATCATGCATTCATTTTTGCTTAGCGGTTGAAGAAACGTTCTACTGCCTGGTGTTATTTCTCGTAGTCGACAATTATACTTGTCCCACTTTGGAAAGGACTGTTCCTTTCACGTAGTTACTTACTAAATTTTAGCACCCCCGCCCCCCCCCCTTTTTTTTCTCTTTCTTTTTGTTATTTTCTTTTCTGCGGCTTTCTGAACTTTTGTGGTTTTACCTGCGGGTCTAACCCCGTGTCCCTCTGGCCATCTCTGCAGTATACAGTTGGTATATTTTCCAACTTTATTGTGTCTTTTGCGCACGCCACTTTGTATAGTATTTTCAAATCGACCGTTAGAGGTTGTAAGTTTCGAAGAGGCTTATCAATATGGTAAAGTCGGCCGTAATTTGTTTCAATAAGGTAAGCTTTCTCTTTTTCTTGTCCCGTTTTCCTCTTAGACTAGTTCGTGAATTTCGCGGGATTCGTATTTTCTACGTACGAGTTTAGCGCTTCAACCTTAAAGTGCACCGTCCTAATTACTGATCCTCTCTCGGCCGCTCTGACGAGGGCTCGTCTTATTGCACTCGGAACACAATTCTGCGGCATTTCAAGAGCCTAGCTTTAATCGGAGCTTTAATGCGCGCTCTTATACAGCAAAAAAAGAAAAAAAAAAGCGAAAACAAAGCAATTGTTTTTTGGTTTTAATTTGGTCGTTTCGGACATCAGTCATCATATCGAACGATTTCGCCTGATGACGATCAGCGGCTGGTGAGTGCTTTTAAAGTGGTGGGTACACAATATATGGACTAAAAGCAAGAGCGCGAACGAGCTGGCGCAAATAGTAAATCTACTTCAATTACAAAGAACCCATAGGCATCCTAAACACGAAGACTCAAATGTATCTGAAATTTAGACGACCAGAAACTGCTCAAAGAGTATCCGAACACAGAAGAAAAGAAATAGAAAAAAACCTTCCCCTGCCCGTTTTAATCTGGATGAATTAGCGCATGAGTTCTTTATGAAATTGTGCATGCATACTGCCTGCTGCGCGTTCAATACCCTAGGCTGGTCATATCGTACTGCAGCGGTGAATTTCTCATCTACGCTGAGGACACCAAAGGCCCATTGGGGCAGACCAACTTCACGACGTCTAAACATACACACAAGACAATTCTTTATTAGAGTAAGCGGGGAAAAAAAATTTTTTTTTTTTACACAGTCGGACCAAAATCGGCCACTTCAAGCCGTACCTTCGATGATTGAAGGGCTTTACATCAAATTGATTTTTTTTTTCACATTTTTTTGCAGGTTCCTAGCGTAACGGCAGGAAATCCCCTGCGTGTCGTTGTGGTCTCCGTCCTGGCATGTCTGCTCCTCTGGCTCGTTTGGTCGAGAAGTAGAAGGCACCCTAACTGGAACAAGCTTCCGCCAGGCCCGAAGGGACTGCCTCTAGTTGGCAACTTGCCGTTCCTCAGCAAGTGTTTCGATCCCGCTCAGTGCAAGGCATGGGCCGAGAAGTACGGGCCGGTCTTCAGGTGAGAATACTCACATTCGTTCGGATTATTAACCTTCTCACAAACTTTATAAAAAATGATGTATTCTTGGGCACCGTTAATCACCACTTGTGGTTCAAAAATTCCGGAAATTCCTTATGACTAGCACACAAAGTTTCCTTTTCTCCTAAACTGACGTTACTTTATAAAGCCACGCTCTCGTGCCCGTATCTTCTAAAATCCTACAACGCTGCACGCGACTCTTGGAATAGCGCCCCCAAAAGAATGAGCGTACACGTTTTCACTTCTCTAACAACGAACCAACCTTTTGCTGCAACATTTGAACTATCTGTTGCCACATCAAAGCAGCGTGAGGGGCCCCACGCACAAACAAACAACTCCTCTCAATGCCTAAAGGCCCGTTCACACTCTTGCAACCGAGTACGACCGAGAGAGACCAGACCGGTTTTTAAGCCTTTTGCGACTTCTTAGGACCGGGTGCGATGCAGCGGAGCTGGTCCTAAGAGATCGCAAGAGGCTTAAAAACCGGTCTAGTCTCTCTCGGTCGTACTCAGTCGCAAGAGTGTGAACGGGTCTTAATATTCAAAGGCTCGTTGGGAATTAAACAAAATCCAGGTTTTCCGCGAAAAAACAGGGTATATATTCGGGGCAGTGTAGGCTTCAGAAATCCAAGTTAGGCATTGGTCGGCAGAAGGGAGGCCATAGGTATACGCTTTACGCTATAGTCTTTATCACAATAAAAAAAGAAAAAAAGAAGAAAACAAGGACAAACAAAGCAAACTTCACGACTTCTCGCCGACTGGTGTGAGTGTGACTACCGTTCTCTCACATCTGGTCCCCAGATTTCCGCCTGATGACGTCATAAACGTGTCACGGTGTTGCCTGTCGCGACCCTGCATGACTGTGCGACAGCAGAGGAGACGGAGACGCTGCGACGACAATGACTCTCCCGTTCGCTCACCTTTCCTGGCTCAAACCTCCACAAACCACACCGCAAAAAAAAAGAAAAAAAAAAAGAAAACAGCAGGAATTTTTTGTTGCTGTGACGTCATTTGTTGCCACTCCGGGACCACTTTCGACGAGGGGGCGGTACGGACGCCATAAACGTACCAGTCAAAAGAGAGTTTTAGCGAATCGTTTTTGCGCATCCGATAGGGTACGATATACCCTCCGGTACGAACTGTGCACATGCGAGTCTTTTGGGGTACAGCGCATGCGCAGTTCGTACCAGAGGGCCCATCGTATTCTATCGGATGCGCAAAAACGGTTCCCTTAAGCGCGATCCAAACCAACGCTTCTTTTTGCGCCTGTAGGTCGTGCGGCTGCGGATGTGACGTATTTTCGTGACGTCGCGCCGCTTCTTCGCTCCTTCCGGGCGCGCACAAAAAAGTTGGTTGATTTCAACTTCTTTCTCAACGCGCACAAAAACGCGCGGTGACGTATAGGGCGCTCCTGTGTCCCGGCCAATCGGTGGAGGGCAAGCTAGTTCCGGCTCCGCGTTTCTCGCCGTCTGGCTGCCCTCTCCTCCCTCCCTTTTATTCTCTTCCAACATGACAACGCGATCTCTCTTTCTCTCTTTCTCTCGCCGTCTGGCCGGCCAGTCTGTCGCAGTTGCACTTTGCTTGTGCGCTCGTGCCTGCGTGCGCGCTCGCCCGAAGTTTCGCCCGTCCAAACCAAAGCGCACGGTTCTGACTCAGAAAGCGCGCCCGGAAACAGCAAAAACGCCACGAAATGCGTCACATCCGCAGCCGCACGACCTACAGGCGCAAAAAGAAGCGTTGGTTTGGATCGCGCTTAAAACCCTCTTAAGACGCGTTCTCGGCACCGCATAGCGCAACAAACTCAGCAAATGCGGCTTATTTGTACTCAAGGGCGTATCGCCGTCGCGCAGCAGGAGCAACTGCCAAAGGGCATGTTCACGATGCGGTACATTCAGCATAGTTAAGAAAAAAAAAATCGCCAGTAACGTCTTTCTTCTTTTCGAGCGTTTTGTTCTCGCGGTTTTTACTGCCTTCTCAAAAATGCGCTCCGTGCTACTCAAATTTCAGAGCACATCTAAATGGAAGTCTTAAGCCGCGCCGTCACACTGATAATGCAACATACAAAAGATCGTCTTCAGACATTTTCTGGGGCGTGTTTCTTACTTGGGGCCTGTCACATTAATAATTAAAAAAAAAAAAAAAAAACTGCCTAGAGACATGTGCGAAGCACACATATGTTAAAAAACTAACATGCTGCAAACATATGCTTGAGATATGTTCGCAGGGAATTCTGTCATCATGTCAGCGGCAAACATGGTGTCTGTTGCATAACGAAGGACCGGTGCGACTTGGGCTTTACAAGCTTACTATGCGCGCAGCGCACATTTTGCATAATATGTATATACAAAAAAAAGCGCCTATGATGAACAATCGGATTTTTGAGAATATTTCGCCCGAGTTAAGGCTCCTTCACACTGCCCCATTATCTTACGTTAAGTTACGTTACGTATGAGTCACCGAAAGAGTCGCGTCTCGAATGTCGTGTGTCATGATTTTTCCTTGAGCTGGTAGCCTCGCTTAATAGGAAGCACAGAGGTCCCGGTGACCTCAACGTAATATTTCGTAACGTAACTTAACGTAAGAAAGTGGGGCAGTGTGAATGAGCCTTTACACTGGTCCCGGCAAAGTGGGAGACGTAGATCTAAAGTATGATAACGTGCCGTCAGTCCAGTACGATCTCTTCACACAGTGTCTTTGATAAAGATCATTCACGGACCTGGATGGCCCAGATCGCTGCTTGAGTGGCGAGCCTTGCGACAACGGAATTTTGCAGCCGTCATTTGTATCTTTTTTTTTTTTTAGCTGAAATTAAAAAGAAACCCACTGAGTGTACAATACGTTGTCATAATATTATGAAAACCTAGATAAATGCAGGTATGCCCCCGGTCCACAGCTGAAAAATGTGGAAAAAAAGAAACAAGTACAAAAATATGGGGGCTTTGAATGGCATGATGATGAGAGTTGGCAAGAATTTTGTATATATACTATTGAGTTTCCAGGTGAGGTATTACTTTGTCTAGACGATTTCAGAGACCCAAAATGTTCTTCAGGATAAACATGGGTCCGGGGAACGTGGTGATCCTGAACGACTTCAACTCCATCAAGAAATACTTCTGCAAACCGGAAGTCCTTTATCGACCTTCAGACTGGATCCTGACGCATTCAGGTGTTGTCGGTAAGTGCCGGCTCTTTCCGATCGTGCGTCCACGTCCCTTCCCAGCTCCGGAAGAGCCAGTGATGGAAATGTAAGGGAGGAAGACCGGCGAGTGACGAAGCCGATAGTCATCCGTAGATTTTCCTTCCGTGTCTGAGGTTCGCTCACTTTCAGTTCACGTATCTTGCTTTGTGATTGGCGCTTCCGCGTTCTTATCGACCAACGCCGCAGTGTCATTGACTTTTGAGTCAGTGGCGTACCTCTATGTTCACCCTGCACTTGCAAATATTGCAAGACGGTAGGAAACGAAGTTTGTAAAAGAGAGTAGTTACACGTGACAATTAAATATATAATTAAGGCTTCGATCTATATTCTTCTTCCTTTGCCAGGTAGAGTGTGGGTTGAGACATCGGTGAATAAGAAAATAAATTCTTTTCGTTATAAATATTATTTATAAATAAAAGCACCTGGATACCCCTCAAACAATTCCTTAAAACGTAGGTGAAAACAAGGTAATGTAAACACACGTTTGCCAAACGTTCCTTTTTTTACGCCTTTCACAAAACGCACACAACACGGTCCAGCGGTAGTGTATACGTGTTCACCAAATAGACAACCGCTGAGGCCACGAGCAGCGAAGTGCCGTGGCCTCACCACCTAACGAGTTTCCCTCTCTTCAAACCTGAAATCTCCAGCCATAGTCTTTGCTCTATTCTACGTCAGCTACCAATTGTTTTATTAGACTAAAAATTTGTTTTTGAGATAAAATGTGTCCAGCTCGGGTAAAATCAGGAGAGAAAAGAAAAAGACTACCATTTCCGAAGTGCTGGCAAAAAGCTGACGCACGAAAAAAAAATAATAAAAAGGTCACTGAGATGCAGATAACCTGGTTGTAATTCACAAATGAAGTGGGCCAACCCTAGAAGTTGAACTACAAAAAAACAAAACAACAACTAAGTAGCATTTAGATCCCAATCAAATAAAGTAAAAAAAAAAAAAGGCCCGTGCGAGGGCGTACTGTGGAGACCGGCTATAACGAAGCGAACGGGAATCGCAAATCACTTCGCTATATCCGCCATTTCGTTATAACTGACTTCGGTAATAACGAAGTGCAAAAGGAAATGGGAAATCGTGATTACTTCGCTGTAGCCACTGTTTCGTGACGAACCACGAATTTCCGTAAAACTACGTGTGGGTGGCACAAGAAATGAAAGGGGGTGATGTATATGAGAGTCCCAGATGTGTTGCTTGTGACAGTTGGAGATACGTCAACGGGCTCGTGCCGCATGACGATGGCGGGTGGGGAAGATCAGAGCCTTGTATAGAAAGAGTTTGGTCAATGGGAGGAGCGGGCAGAGCCAGGGCGTGCACCAGACGCAGAAAGAGGGCGTGACATGTTCTCTTGGCCAACCAGAAGCCGAAAAGAATCCCCTAGTGGTGGTAGCGGGAAAGGGTTTTAATCATCGGTATATCTTGGTATATGGTTTGAATAAGCGCGTAAGAGTGAGGTGCAGTAACCCTTTCTGGTTGATTATAGGGTGCACGTGATGTTTCGATCATGATCGTGCAGAAAGATGTAAGAAACGTTTTTGCTCGAACAGATTGTGACCGCTGGGACGGCAAATTCCTGGCGCTTTGCACCTGGCGTACGGATTATGTCGATCGTTCCGCTAGTCGCGGCTTTCCACCATGATATTAAATGACCGTGATTGAAACATCACGTGCCCCATATTTTCAGTCATCAAGAGCTACTCTGACGCACTTATTAATTTATTTTCTCGCTACCACCGCTAGGGTATTATTCCCGGCTTCTGGCTGGCCACATTAGAATTTGTAAATACGCCCTGGAACGCGCCCAACAAGCTTTCGGCCAATGGCGTCTCCTCATTTGACGCCTATACTTCACAATGAATCGCCAAATTCTCTGTATGTACGGCTCAGGGGTAGAGGTGACTGCCGTGGCTCGGGTCAACGTTACTAGAACCACTCAGTAGGGAAACTGCCATAGAGGCTGCTCTGAAAAAGTGGCACCGATCCGGACTCCAGAACCGAGCTAATGTTGATCGGAACGCCGCCATTTTTCCTGCAGCGGCAACTCATGGAACTGCACGGCTGCAATTATTCGTTCAGGTCGAGCCGCGCAAGGGCCGGTGGCGCCATCTAATAGTAGTCGGGGTATCGCATTCGATAGCGTCGTCTATTACTCTTCAATTTTGGCTTTGATCGACCATTTTGGCGCCGAAACAGATGCAGTGGAGAGAGTTTGAGGACTGCTAATTCCGTCTACCAAGCGGACGCGCCGCAAATAAGCACGTCTCCTAAGGACGTACCCAAGTCGGGAAGCGCTACCTGAAACCGCCGGTGAGACATGGCTGTATCAAAACAACATTATTGGTGCCACAAAACAATGCAAACTAAAATGTTATACAAGCATTACACTTCTGTGATTTTGTACTAATCTTCAATACATTTTCCTACAGAAAGACCTTTTTTTCGTTTGTTTTTACGCAAAAACATGCTTTCTAAAAGCTCAGGGTGAGCACAGTAAAGAAAAAAAATTGAGTCGCCATCTTGGCACCTCAAGCCTGGGGGTGTCGGTACTCTGGGAACATTCAGTGACTCTAGCAGAAGCCATATAAAGCAACTTTCATGTTTCAACTCGTAGCTAAAAGGCGGCGCTGTTATCGTATTTGACTCGGTCTCGGTGGACGACAGCAGTCTAGGTTTCCAGGGCGAGTTTCCCAACTGAGTGTTTTAGTAACGTTGGCTCGGGTATAGGCGAAGTCACGTGACCTGATGTCACGGGAGCTACAGACCAATTCAGTTTACCCGCAAAAAAAGAGAAAAGGGAAGAAAAGGAAACTTTCTCGCTAAATTTGGCCAAAAAATTTATATTACCTGAACCTCTAAATTTAGCGAGGAAACTAAATTTGAGTATAATTCACATAACGTAAGGTCGCGTGACTTCTACAGGGTGTCACTAAAGAAAATTTACACTTCTTTTTTTTTACCGCAAAAATAAACAAGGCCGAACGCTCATTCTCCGCCCAAAGGTAGCGCTAGAGGTCACAACCAGGTGCCCAACTTTCAGCCCGATCCTATAACTTCATCAAAAGTTATAAGTGATTTTCTGAAAATTTCAATGGGAAAATGGAGCCCATTCTTGGCCCGTTTTCGGTTTCTGGTGCCATAGAGCCCCATCTGTTCGAAAACGCCGTCGGCCTCCATTTTCCCATTGACATTTTCAGAAAATCACTTATAACTTTTGATTAAGTTATTGGATCGGGCTGATACTTTGGCGTCCGGTTGTGTCCTCTAGCGCTACCATTGGGCGGAGAATGAGGGTTTGGCGATGCCTAGTCTATTTTTGCGGTGAAAAAGACCGCGTAAATATTGTTTTGTGACACCCTGTATTTCTTTGACAAATTTAGCTGGAAACTGAATTGTCTTATAGGTCACGTGACAATAATTATCCAGCCACATTTAGTGGGAAAACATAACGCGATTAGGTCAGGTGACCTGAAGTTTCCCGCTAAATTCAGCAGGGAAACTAAATTTGTGTAGAGATCACGCTAGGCCTGGTCACGTGACATCAATTTCCTGGCCATATTTACCCGGAAATATATATCACATGACGTCAGGTCACGGGACAACAATTTTTCTGCTAAATTTAGCAGGAAAACTAAATTGGTGTATCATTGACTCCGGTCTCGAGCTCGAGACCGGAGTCGATGAGAGCAGCCGCGGCACGCCTCAGAGTTGGGAAAGGTGTGCATAAGATGGCGCTACCTGTCCAACTTCACTCGTTGCTTACTTTCGTTCGGGCAGCGAGCCTTGCTTTGTACATATACCCCCTCTCTCCCTTCCTGTATCTTTCTCTCTGTCCTTTTTGTTCACTCTTTCCTCACCACGTCACCGTCTTAGATGACTAAAGTAAAAAAAGATGACGGCTCATTTAATTCCTTATTAAATAAAACGTTTCAACAACATCGCACGGTTACTAAATGACGCACATTAAAGTTAAACCTATCGCTTTTCGTAAGCAGAACTCCCGCAGTTTATATACTGCAACAGATTTCAGTGCAATTTCAATACACTCTTTTCACATAAAGACGTTGCCAAGCGGCGAAACCTCAAAGTGCGATGAGCGTCCTGACGTAGAGGTAGCGCAACTCCCCTTCCGGACGCCAACCGTAGTTCGAGCTTTCGCTGCTCTCTGAGCAGGGCCTGCAGATGGATACGAAGGCTCAAATCAGCAAGGCTGGTATTGTACTCACACTCCTTTTTGTTCAAACAACAGGGGTGGCGACTATAAATGGCAAAGCCTGGGTCGACAACAGGCGGTTTTGCATGCAAGTGCTGCGGGATCTGGGTGTCGGCAAGAAATCAATGGAAAAACATATTCAGGTAAGTAATTTGCAGCAATGGAAGTTTTTCTTTTTTAAATTCATACATGACTTAGCGAAGCAGGACCTTGGCAACAGTGTTGCACTCAACGAAATTGATTTAAAATGAGTTTTTTTTTTAAATTGTGCAATGTTTTTTATATTACTGGTTATTACGATCAAGTTGCCTTGGTTTTCGCGTTAGTGCACAGTGTTAAGTAAAACATATTAGAGCACGCCATAAGCAGTGGTCTTTTTTAAATAATTATGCTTTATAGTTAATGTTTATTATGCTTTATAGTTAATGGGAAAACAGTTAGGGGAGAAAAAATATTTAACAAGCTGTCATAAATAAGGATCTAATTTATACTCAGCAAAACCAGAGGTATAAAAGATCTAATGTTGTTCGTCAGTTTTTCAAGGAAGAACTCACGACAACGAACAAGGTCCAAGCAGAAGCAAACCTTCTGAAATAACTTCCATCCTCTAATTGTCGCCGCGTTTCTTGTAAAACAGGAGGAGTCTCAATACCTGGTCGAAAAAATAGCCGAGACCAAAGGACGTGCCACCGACGCGCAAGAGTTCCTCACGCCGAGCGTGTCTAACAACATCACGGCTCTGGTGTTCGGCCGTCGCTACCCGTATGAAAACGCAAGCCGCAAGTACATGGACGACCGCCTCGAAAGAGTCATCAAGGTCCTCAGCAGGGGCTCCATCGTGGGCATCCTGCCAGCCTGGGTCTTCAGCATCCTCGTCCGCATTCCTTCGACGACAAGCAACGTCATCAAGACGATTGCTGACGACCTGCTTGGTTACGCAAGGTCAGCATTTTCGATTAGCGCTGAGGGGTATGCCCGGCAATACTAGCCTAGAAGACGACACTTGCGCGTGACGTCAACGTTGGAGGATCGCCGGTCCGCTCTAGATGACAAACATGCTGAGTCTTGACGATATTCACCGTAAAGCCATGTTCTAGCATTGGGCTCGTTATCAGACGCTGCAGGACGCGGAGCTGCATGAATCTACTAATGACGACGTTTGGGGTGGGGAGGGGGGAGGGCGGGAACAAGCTAAGGCTTTGTCTTCAAGGTGGCATTTGCCCAGAGCCCAGCGCTTTACTTGCGAGTCAGGAAGCTGTCGAGAACAGTTTCGGAAAGGTTGAATCAAATAGTGCTGATGACACCCCAATGACTGTAGACCCATAGCTTTCAGGTACGGGGTTTTTGGGCTCTTTTTTCCCAGTAAGAGTTATAGGGACGGCAATGCCATTTGATAGGAGCGTTTTTGAAGCAGATTTCACGAAATCCCCTTCCTTTCTTTCTATGCAGTCAGAAAGTAAAGGAGCACCTGGAATCTTCAGAACTTCGAGCTGAGCGAGACTTCATCGATCGATACCTGAGTAAAATCAAGGAAAACGATTGGAATCCTGACTCCAGCTTTACCAGTAAGTGAAACGGGCGGCCAGGGCGAATATCCACTCATCACGTAATAGATAAACACAAGGTCACAAATACACGTCCTTTCTAATGCATGGCGTGCATTGACGCACGCCAGATCAGCGGTCATTGTGGTGGCATTGCTGCTGCGCGAGTATTTTCTGCAGCATTCATTTCACACCATCGAGTTTGTATTTCTCCATAAAAACAACTAAGAACGACCACCAGCAGGATGCGAAGACGTCATGTGCAAGTCAGGCTTTAGAACAACCAAACTGATGCACATCATTTACGAGCACAAAAATTAACTATCTACGGTTGACTGAATTCAGTTTTACGAGTAGCTGACACTGATGGTGTGCCAGAACTAAAAGTAGGCGCTAGCGTGGTCGTTGTCCGCTAATTTGATTACAACAACAACAACAACAACAACAACAACAAAACAACAACAACAGCAAAACAACAACAACAACAATAACAACAAGAGCAACAACAACAACAAAAGCAACAAGAACAACAACAACAACGAGAACAACAACAAGAACAAGAACAAGAACAACAACAACAGCAACAAGAACAACAACAAGGACAACAACAACAACAACAACAACAACAACAACAACAACAACAACAACAACAACAACAACAAACAACAACAACAACAACAACAACAACATATTTTTCTAAAGTTTATGCCAATGCACGTATCCCTTGGAAAGAGTTCTATGAATGGACACAATATATTTGGCTTCGATGCATTGGTCGACACTCGCTCAATATTGTTTCACATCTCCACGAGCGTCAGTCCTCTTCCAACGCACCTGCTGGTATTTTCGTTGCAGTGAATCATTTATTGGGCAACGTGCTGAGCTTCTTCATAGCCGCGTCCAACACAGTCCGCACTTCGGTGCAGTGGCATATGCTCTGCCTGGCGGCTAACCGGGACACTCTTCAGCTGAGGATCCAGCGGGAGATCGACGAGGCGGTCGGCAAGGACAGGGCACCCACGTGGGAAGACCGCGACAAGATGCCCTTCACGGTAGCCTCCATCTGGGAGATGTACCGGTGGAGGACGGACTCGCCCTTCGGGGTACCCAGAGCGTAAGCGCAGTCTACGTATTTTGCCGTTTGTCTTAGGCCCAAAGCCACAGTTACACTGTTCACACATCGCACAAAAGACACGGTCTCCGCTCCAGACATGATGACATAATTATTTGGGAACAAGCCTCGAGCATCTTCGAAGAACGTTTGCTTCGTATTTACGAACGCTTCTGACATGTTAGCAAAGAGTGTTTGTATGGCCAATATGACCATCGTAGAAAGAACAAACATGCCTCAGACAGTGTCTGCGGACTTGTCTACTGTATGATGTATTAGCAGTGGGACCACGGCTTAACAGCTCGGGGTACGGCGGAGGAAGGAGGCCAGAAAGAGGGGGGCGGGGGGGGGGGGGGGGGGGGGGGCTTGGCTTCAATTGCACTAGGGCTTTTCAGATCTTCAGAGAGGAACACTTTCGGTTTGGGGACCTAGCGCAGATGTGTCGCGGCGTGCGGCCTTGAAAACGTGCGCACGAATAAAGATAGTTCTCCGAGCCCCTAATCGCGATGTATGGATCTCACCCCGTTTGCCAAAAATGCGAGTAAGACGTCGACACACATGTTTCATGGCGAGGCGGTGCCTTTCACTTTGGAAACTTTTTTTTTTCCTTCACTGTGGCCCAGGACTTGACAAGTAAACTCTCATGGTCACAGAAAACTTAAGATATGCGGGTAGTGGCGAATCCAGAGCATCTTATTATTTGCTCCACAGCCAAGGGGATTGCGGGAATAGCCAATAAAAAAGCCGAACAAATCAGAGAGCAAGAAACGAGAAATATAATAGAAAACGCCTTTCTGTCTGTTATGCTGCCAGTACCAGGGATGAAAGCGGCATTTGACCTTTTGAGGCAGGTTCTGCAGCAGAATAGATATTCATTCGGAGCAATTACTTACGCTTTTGGAGCCGATGCTATCTGTTAGCGCATCACTTGAAAAGGAATGCATCGCTACATGAGTTCATACTTGATGATGATTAAGGGTTCCTCTTTGAGACTGAAGCATACCCCTTGTACCATTTCGTAATAAGAATAGATAGGGCTCGAAAGTTACACAGAACCTTTGTTTTAGAAGTAAGGCTCTGGTCAGTTGTAGGTTCCAGTTACAATGGGTACTAAAAATGGTAGAAATTGAATCATGGCACAACAGTTGAGTTGGAATAAAGCCTCTCTCCCCTTCTACTTTTACACCGGCTAGTTCGTTTAGACTGTAAGCATAATTTCTGTGAAGTGCCAGCGAAAACGAGTACATCCGCTAACAGGTCGATCAATAAAAATGCGTCCCAAAGTTTTATGAACCGACCAAAATAAGAACTATAATATTAAAAACTGAACAGAAAACTGCCCTCCACAAGTATTACGAAAATTTGCACGTGTGCTTTAAAAGTGACACATTTTTAGCGGAGTCGGAACCAGGGTGAAGTCCAAGTTCGCTGCTCTCCCGATCGACAGCGGCATGGGAACAACATTGACTACCGTATTTATTCATTTTCCCTTTTCCTTTTTTTTTTTTTTACGCGGGCTTTTAAAATTAAAGATTAGCCTGCAATCTAAAAACAACTTAAAAAACAACAACAAGGATTTGTAATATTGGTGAGCAAAATTTCCGAGCCTATCGCGCTAACCCAGGCGTTCACTTCTGTCAGCCACTGCTCCTAGCACTCCCTAGCACTCCGCTGCAACGCGGTGAAGCTCGACGAGCTCGCGCTGGTGAGAGGCACCACGGGGGCAAACACCAGACATGATAATCAAGTGATCTAATCAGGAGTACAAGACCCTAGTTCTATAGTATGAAAGTAGTCGCGATCATACTATTATGAAATGTTCCGGCATACTATTATGAAATGCTCCGGCATGCGCCCACATCGTCGGGACATTTGAATGATATTGGCGATCAGCCCGTCTGCGCATCAACCGGCCAGCACGGTTGACGAGCAAACCTATGCTTCGTGTAATCTTATTTCAAAGCGCAGCCGACGCTACGAGCCAATGGAACCAGTGCCAAAGCGCGACATAATGGCATTCGTTCACTTTTCTGCCCGTGCTTTTTCATTGACTAAATCAAGCGATGCGAATGTCTCGTGACATGCCACTTTATTATGTGCGGTTGTATGGGTTCGAACCTTCCACTGTGCTCTGACCTAAATGAAAAACACTGTACGGTAAGTTGAGACGCCGCGCAATACATCTTTGTACCATTTTTATTTGCTCCTACTTCTCCACATACTAAAACCGACCAGTATAAAACAAAAAAAAAATTGAATTCCTTTTGCTTATCTCGGCACAGGTACGTGGAGCAGTGGTGAGCGAAAATGGCCCTTCGGCGCAAGATGTAGCACACTTTTGTTAATGGCTCATTTTGGCTCAAATTCGCGTTACTGCATCGTTACTGCATCGGCGCAGTGGCTACAGTACGCCCTTCCGTCTTTTGCTTCGCAGAACACGAGGAGAGTTAGTCGGTGAAGTCTAGAAAAGAAGGCAACGACGAGGTCGTAAACATTCCGCAAACCTAAAAATAAAGCCTGCGACGCGACGCCGAACATTGCGTTCCCGCGTGAAACGTCTATGGCCACTGACACGCTTAAAATACGCAGGGCGTGTCTCATTATGGTGAAGCTTAATAGCTTCATGATTCGTAGTTCGGCGTTCTGATCGGCTAATGTAGAAGGCTCAATGGCTGCGGCGCTTACGCTTGAAACTCGCCACGTCCGGCTTTTCGAGGGTTTTCAGCGACTTGCAGAGCTGAGTTTTAAAGCGCGGAATTCGCTTTAACGTCTAAACGTACTTTTTGTTCCATCACCCGCCGAGCCTCTGCAGCAAATCGCAGTCGCTGGCTCTTCAAGTACTATGCGTGTGAGCAGACACGTGGGTGTTCTTAAGAACGTGCAATACTTTGCTTCACCTTAAACCAGCGCACAACGAACGCTACACCGTAGAACGTTAAACAAAAGACCGTAGAACGTTAAACAGACTGAAATTGCTTCACAAACTTTTTTATCACTCTCCATCTCGTAAGTCGATCTATTGTAAACCTGCTCCTTTTATCTCACGCCGACTTGACCACCCCTGCAAATTACACCTTGACATTCCCAGAACTAACCTTTACAAGTTCTCGCCTCTTCAGCTTGCTATTAGTGACTGGAACCAACTACCCGAAGCCATTGTCACAATAATAGACCCACAGAAATTCGCCGATAATGTTGCCGTTCATCTCCATCTGTGATAATTTTCTTGTTTTATATTACTAGCGTTCTTTTGTTTTGACACTGTCCTGCCAAATGTCCCCCCCTTTGTAATACCCCTCGTGGGTCTTAAGGGGAACCAATAAATGAAATGAAATAAATGAAATACACTCTAGGAAATGCCTGCACGTCTACTTACCCGCAAAACACTTGAAGAGCCAATCTCTGCGATCTAAGAAATCAGGTGAGCGAACGATGAGGCGGAACATCTGTTTAGACCTCAAAATGAAGTCTGCGCTGTGGCATTACGCAATACAAGAATGGCGCATTGCATCGGGTAATGACACAGCGCAGACTTCATTTTTAGGTCCAAACGGATGTTCCGCCTCGTCAATCGCTGACCTGATTTCGTCGATCGCAGAGACTGGCTCTTCGAGTGTTTTGCGGGTAAGTAGACGCGCAGGCATTTCTTAGAGTATAGGAGCCGATGGGAGGTCAAGAACGTCGAGCCGAAAATGAAACGTCACGGTGCTGGTTTTATTTCGGTGCGTATACGTTAACAGTAGCTAAACCAACGAAAGCTCGGGGCAGACTCCACGATCTTCCGACTTATGGCGAAACGAGCCATAAGTCGGAAGATGGGAGCTCCGTCCGGGGACCACTCCTGGGGCTCCGATCGATAAGTCATAGTCCCCGCAATACGGCCAGCAAGTGTTCCAAAAAATGCGCCCTTGGCGCATCGGAAAGCAAGGAAGGGGGGACACCACGTATACCTATCAAAGAACAAACTGGATAACGCGTAAGAAACGCACGGTGACGAGGCAACCAAGCACAGGCCGTCATTGGGTGCGGTCGTGGGGAAGGTAACAAAGGCACGTGGACTGATTTGGAAGCAAACAAACGCACCAGGTGCGGAAGGGGCGGACGAGATTGCACGACGTATGGCCGCGTTTTCTCCCGCGCTCTAAGTAATCTGGGTTCGTCTGCTTTCCCGCAACGCTCCTGGGCGAGCCAATCGCTGCGTTCTGTGGAGGTCGCTTGGCGAATGACGGAGCGGATAATGTGCGTGAACCTAAAAAAGAACTTTCAGCCTTTCCACTCTGGTGAAGAGGGAAGACCAGCGGAGATGTACAATGGAAAGTAATGGCCGGCCGCAAGTTGGCAGGCCAGAGTGGAAGGGCTGCCGCCATCTATGAGCGCCGGCGGTAACCAGGTACGTGGCTTGCCGCCGTCGCTCATAGATGGCGGTAGGTATCTAAAGTTCGATGTCTTCATTTCTCTGCGGGGGACACGATTCTGGAAAAACTAACCCTTAACTCCGCTGTAAAAAAAAAAAAAAAAAAAGAAAAAAAAAATCATGTATTGTTTGCGCTGTAGCACTGAGCTTGACGTTTTCCATGCTCACTGTCAAAGCGGAGATCGTTTCTTGAGGTCTAAACGTATTAACAGCCCCCTCATTCATCGATCGCGTTCCGTTGATTGCAGCGATGGGCTCTCCCGAATGCTTTGCGGGAGAACGGACACTCATGATTTTGTCAAGGGGCATGATCGCAATGTTTGAGAACAAATTAAAAATAAGTAATGCCACTTAATTCTTCCTTCTCTCAGTGAAATGTTTATTTAGGTTGCTGAAGACTCGCTAATAAAGTCATTCCAAGTTCTTTTTTTTTTAATAATTTTTGCTCCAACACTGTCTATGGCTGCGGGAATGTGGGAACTCATTGAACGTCACATTGTTCCAGAGCCGGTGAAGACACCTTCTTCGGCGAATACTTCATTCCCAAAGGAACCATCGTCATGGCTAACTTTCGAGCGGTTCACAGCAATCCGAAACTGTGGAAAAATCCGGAACGCTTTGATCCTACACGGTTCTTAACCGAGGGAGGTGCGCACCTGGCTCCAAAACCGGATTATCTCATCCCCTTTTCTGTCGGTAAGTGTCACATGTCTATGTGCATAACATTTACAACGCAGTGAGCGTAGATAATCTATCTATCTATCTATCTGTCTATCTGTCTATCTGTCTGTCTGTCTGTCTTTCTGTCAGTCTCTGTCTGTCTGTCTGCCTGTCTGTCCGTCTGTCTATATATATATATATCTAATGAATGTTTTCTTATTAAAGTCATACAAGCGGTATCAGGTGCTGTCAATTTAAAGCAGAACATATGAGAAAATGTTTACACAGCGGAAAGTGATTACATTTTGGAAGGTGGCGACTCATGAGAAGAAGTGTTCGGCAAGGGCAATATGAGTTTGATACAGCGTGCCCACGAATCCGGTGAAAGCCTTTAAAGGGATGCTGAACCAAACATTTCAGTGTCTATAATAAGTGGCGCACGATCGTTCCACGAGCCAGCAGCCGCCAGTGTGCGCGAGCACACGCATCGAAATTGACGTCATCATATCCCCCATTCACGCATAAGCGTGAATGGGGGACAGATCTGTCGGTGGTTGCGCCAGTCAGAGGGTGCATGGACAGCAGACGAGTGCCGTAACTAAAACAAATGAGGGATCGTTTTTTCTTTTTTACTTTTTACTCAGGTTAGTTTGTCTTTTGAAATTTTGGTGCGATGCTTCCATCTCGTTTGGGCACCTCCATGGTAAATCGTAGCGCGATACGTCACCAAGCCGGTTTTCGCGGTCACATTAAAGGCTTCCCCCGGAATCGTGGGCGCGGAGTATTCACGGATAACTTAAGATACAAAGGGGCGGGCCGAACCTCGAATACCTTCTTCTCGCTCTTCAAGCAATGAGATTACGTCATTAGCCGATAAAAACGCCAAATGACGAATCAGAAAGCAAGGAGAATGATCAAAGTCAGCCCCGCCTTACGTTTCGTAGGCTATCAATGGACATAGTGACTACCTTAACCCTCAACTCAAAAAGAAAGAAAGAAAAAAAAGTGAAAGCCGTTTACAACTCCCGGTAACGCCGAATTAGAGCGCAGCTCTTGAGGAGGAGTATGGAAGGATACTGAGGGGGAGGGGGGGGGGGTCACGTGACCTTGGGGTGGGTAACGTGACATTGGGGGAGTCATGTGACCTCGTGGTTGCGCCGACGCCGACGCCGACGCCGCTCAAGCCGGAAACGGGCCCCTAAGACCTGCGCTCTAAAAGGAGAGAGTGATTAGTGATTGCATGTATTTTTGTCTCGCAGGCAAACGGATGTGTCCAGGCGAGACGCTAACCACAGTGGAGATCTTTCTGTACCTGACGTCCCTCTTGCAGAGATTCGACATTCTTCCCGAGGAAGGAAAGGCCATCAACCTTGCGCCCGTCAGCGTCACCTTCAACATTCCTTTTCCTCAGAAACTTCGTTTCGTACCTCGTTGTAAAGACTGAAACTTTTCGTCTAGCTCTATATATAGGAAGAGAGTTCAAGTAACGCACCTGGACGACGATCACCACGTAATCTGCGACAACATATGAAAAAACGGTTAATGTGCAGGCCAGCTGGTGTAAGTTTTAAATGATGATTGTCATGTCATGTGCATACCAGTCTCAGGTTTAAATCATCATGTGCAACATATCAACCGCCGCGAAATTCCGCTTCCCATTTCCAGAAAACAATGCGGAGAGCAAGTCGTCTGATTCTTGCGCAGGAGTTGTGGTGACGTCAGTGGGACGGCAGGCTCTGATCGACTTTGATAGAAAAGATAGTGGGTAGACCTCATTGCTATATGCATTGAGGTCTACGCACTATCGTTTTTCAAACAGCCAATAAGAGCTCGAGGTTCTGACATCATCGCAATTCCCGTGCAAGAAGCAGACGAACGTTCACTCCGCATTGCGTAGCTACGCAACTCAGGACGACAAACAGACCATTGTACGGAGGGAAATCGAGGGAGAGGGGGTGACGAGAGCGCGAGGGTACGTCGGGGCGCCGAGCTCTGATTGGAAGGATTAGGGGGTAGACGCAAAGGCTAGCTGCATTAGTCTCGATCTATTTGGCTTTTGCATAGCCCGTCTGCAGATAGGACGCGCGAGCGCCATCCAAGCAAACAGGGAGACACTGTTTTCGCAAAACTGCTTGCGGAACTTACCTGCGTCTCCGGCTGTCTGCAACCTGCTAACATGTTGGGTAGTCAGTGGACTCGCCAGCACAGCGCATAGCAATTGTTGAGTCCGTATAGTCAGCGGACCGCCGATCTGTGCACTGCGTGTGACGTAAGCTCGCGATTGATCGGAAATAAACTCAGGGTGATGAGACCGCATGCCTCTCAAGTGCTGTAGCCACGAATACTTGGTTCTCTTTCACAACAAGGTGGCCTCGTGCGGATCACCAAAGCATCCAAGAAATGTTTAAGGAAGTAGTCCACTTCCGCTTATACACTGACTCAGTCGTTGTTCGTATTCCGAGACGAAAAAGAAAATTTCTCAGCGCGTGATAAAGAAACGGCAGCTGTATTTCACCTAGGACCTGCTCTCACCACACCACAAAACTCATATTGGTGCGACGTAAACAAACCGGGAACTCATCCGCTGCCCAGTGAACCTGACAGAACTAGCTTTTTTCCCCACTGTTGCGAGACTTTTAGAGCGCAGCTCTTAGGCGCCCGTTTCTGGCTTGAGCGGCGTCGCCGTCGGCGTAACCAAGGTCACCCCAAGGTCACGTGACCCCCCAAGGTCACAGGTCACGTGACCCCCCAAGGTCATCCCGAGGTCACGTGACCCCTCCCAAAGTCACGTGACCCCCCAAGAACACGTGACCTCCCGAGTTCACGTGACCCCCCCCAAGGTCTTGTGACCCCAAGGCCATCCCAAGGTCACGTGACCCCCTCCCCGAGGTCACGTGACCCCTCCCAAGGTCACGTGACCCCTCCCAAGGTCACATGACCCCTCGAGGTCACGTGACCCCTTCCAAGGTCACCTCAAGGTCACATGACCCCCAGAGAGAGAGAGAGAGGAGAGAAAGATACATTGCAAGAAATAACTGTGTAAAAGGACACAAAAGAGCTGGGCAGCTCTTTTGCCACACAATATCGGTTTTCGTCTGCTTCTCTGCTTCCTTAATGTTCGTGAGAAAAAAAAAGAAGATATCTTTTCAATTTTTTTTATTCTGTAAAATGACTTAATTTCTGTTGCCCAACCTAGGAAAAAAAAGTTTTTGTTTTTAGATACGTGAAACAAAGTTTTTGTAAAAAAAAAAGCGGATTTCTCTTTTGGCAGTGTCGGGAGGTTCTTAAAGTACATTGTACTCAAAGTACTACTCCAAGTAGGTTTATTAAACTTGTACTTTACTTAAAGTACATTCTCTGGGTATGTACTTGTACTTTACTTAAAGATTTTTTTTTTCTGGTACCTTTCGAGAGAGTACAATTCCCGATTTCAAAGTATATTCCCCAAATTTGATTTTGTAAAATTTGTATCACGAAATGATACTTTGTCAACTCTGAAGAAATCCTGGGAGGGATATCCAGCTCTCACCAGAACCGTGAGCAGACGACGCATCGCTCTGTTTGTTCTGGGGGGCGGCTTTCCCGTAGCTTTTTGAACTCTCGCTACTTCTGGTCGGTCAGCGCAAGCAGTAGCAACTTAAATATTAGGAAGACAAAATTAGTCATAATGTAGCACCTGAGACTGTGTGGTGCGGAAAAATTAAATTTTCAAGCCGAAGCAAAAGACAACAGAGGAGAGCGTCACAATGTTTTGAGACATTCTCTTTTGTCTTTTCCTTCTATTTGAAAGTTCCTTAATTTTTCGCACCTCAATCTCAGGTGTCAAATTATGATTAATTATCACCAGCTCGCTTGCACACTCCCTGCTTTTTTTCTTTTATTAAGGAGGGGGCACTCCTTTACAAGAGGATTGCTTGCGGAAGCTACGGGGCTGACGTCATGCTCTCTCCTGGTACATTTAACCCCCTTGGGTGCAATAATCCAGTGCAAAGGCTGCCAAATTCAGAAGAGGGACTTCTGAATTTGGCTCCATTCCTGAAAATAACTACTGTGGCCACTTCTATCAAATACTGGGCCGCTGTTTTTGAAAATAGGTCATGCACCCCTGATTACCCAAGGGAATGCACACCAGTTAAAAAATCACTGTATAGGGGGAATGAAAGGGGATCATGAAAGATTGTGTTAAAATGCTTGTACTTTACCTTGAAAGTACATTGCATTTATAGTACTTTACTTCAAGTACATTTCACCCAGTGTACTTAGTACTTGGCTTAAAGTACATAACGTCTCATTTACTTTGTACTTTACTTCAAGTGCCTTTTCGATCTCCTTTACCCAACACTGTCTTCTAGAAGTTTGTGAAAAGGAGTCTGTTTTCCCCAGGTTGCAAAAATGTTCAATACCAGCGAAAAGCACCGCCTGGTGTTAACCTCGTTATTCAAGCTTTAAATACACTACAATGCAATAGCATATAGCAGGGGTGGCTAAACTGCGGCTCGCGAGCCGCATGCGGCTCTTCGCGAGTTCAAGTTTGGCTCGTGGCACCCTGGTATGCGCGCCCCCCTCCTCCTCCTGTATCCCCAGGACGATAATAGTTTTAGAATTAAAAAAGTACATAGTCTTAGCAGCCTTGTACTACACTGCGTACATACAGATGAACTTCATTTTGACACAAAGATGTGCCCAGTGACCCTGTTGTTCTAGAAAGAATTTCGAACCGTATATATATGCGTAACGTGCATGTACGTGCATATATGCATAACCATGCATGCATTAATTTTTGCTTAGCGGTTGAAGAATCGTTTCGCTGCCCGGTGTTATTTGTTGTCGACAGTTACACTTGTCCCCTTTGAAAAGGACAGCCCTCCATATTGTTTCTTGTTAAAAGTATCCCCCCATCTTTTGTTTTACGCCTGTGGCTCTCTGAACTTTTGTAGTTTTTTCTGCGGCTCTCACCCCATTTCACTCTGGCCACCCCTGGCATATAGAAACAGAACACACGAATAACAGCAACAAAACAGCCACACCAGTGACGCGCCATCCTCTACGAATGCCCATTCACCGATCGCTATATATGGCAGTGTTATTATTGAATTCGACTTGGCCGATTACCGCGATATTGGTCGCATAAAAACGTAGGGGCTGACCACATATTACTCCTACTTAATTATTTCTTTTAAAGCTTTCCGAAGGAATGATTTGTATCTCTTAATTCAGCGCCTTCAGAAAAGTCATGGTAGATTAATTAACTAAGATTCATTACACTTTTAATATTGACTCGACGAATCGTGTTAAAAATGCAGTATTGATTTTCTATACGCCCGTAGCTCACAAGTTTTGAGCAGCGCCCTAGGCGAGCAAACTAGAATATTTGGCTCGCGTTTTGAACGTGCGTCATCACGCTTCTCCACTACTGTTTCTTATAGGAAGTATTCACTGGCGGCCATAGCTGTGTGCGCGACTGCTGAGCGCGTGCTGAGCAGTCGCGCACGCAGTCGCGCATCTTGAGGGTGCATTCCGCACCCTCAAGATTGCCGGTCTTAGCAGCCTATTAATGTGGGCTCGTTCTGAGCATGCGCTCTAAACAGCACCCACAAATATGGCGCCCAGTGAATACTCCTTATACTCCGTTCCATTCGAAATGCCAGCGTAGCAGAGGCTTGAAGAGCGAGCTCCGAGCTTGCAGTGTCCCTTCCAAGCACGCGCCCTCGTGCAGTGCGAGCATCGTTCGGAGGAACATGATTTTGGAAGTAGCTTCAGCTTCGCTATCACGGAAAGTGAAACATAGGGGCTCACGGAAGCTATAAAAGAACGCAATAAAATATGAATGGGACGATGAGGCCACGAGCAGCATAACTCGTTTTTTTATTTTAGTCTTTTTTTTTTTTTAGACGTTTTGTTATCGCGCGTCTACAGATGCTGACAGATGCTTGCATTCGAACGTGGCACGTGCGAAATCGAACGTTAGAGCGCCGACTGGATAGTGCTGCCAGCATAACATGGTCGCGTCTTGCGGACGCGCCCGCGCCCCCTGCCCGAGAGCAACAGGTCTATTACGAATTATTAGATTTTAGTTATTTATTCAAGCACCGCGATACGATTATTCTCCCCTCTAACCTCATCCGAGCCTCAAAACACACGAAGAAGAGACGGCACTCGTGCAACCGCATTACCCTATTTGTATCTTAATTTGCCCGTATATTGCCGTAAATAAACACGCACTTCCGGAGACCTGCAACGGGCTACGCGTATACCACAAAAGTAGAAATCGCAGCTATCGCCGTGATTGTAATGTGGATTAACACCGGAATGCTCACTTTTTATATACTACACCATGTATGGCGAACAGACATTCCTTCCTGAAGTAATTTCTTTTCACTACGACTTCGTTCACTGATTCAATTATCATCCTTTTTTGCAAAAAAAAAAAAAAAGATTTAATTT